GGGGGGGGCGATGTCCAAGGTACAGAAGCTTAGTATACAGCTCTCTGTCAGCACCTTTCCCTCCTTCATTTTCTCCTTTACCCCCTTTCATCCACAGTTATTAATAATGTTGGCAGTCAACCTGATCAAATACAAGCAAATCAAGCACACACACACACACACACACACACACACACACACACACACACACACACACACACACACACACACACACACACACACACACACACACACACAGGGAGCTTTTATTTTTAAGGTTAATTTCAGCCCTGGTTTGTCAAAATCAAATGAAAATCTTTAACTGAGGAAGGCATATTGTCCCACACAAGGCGAATGTCATTGTTGCTGTAGTCAGAAACAGAATCAGATTCACCTGCAGCAAACTCACCTAGGTTGCCTTGGTTTGCAACGGGAGCATAAACACTAGTTCTCCAGCTGAATGAAACGGCAGAACCAACGCATCACAGCGATTATAGAAGCTGTACTCGCAGTTTCAATATCTGGACTGGTGTCTTATCATTGGACAGTAGCAATCTTTTATATGGAAATACAATTCATGTCTAATCATTGGATATAAAGAGCAGATTGCACAAGGGTTGAGAACTAATTCATCACTTAATTGATCATGCTCATGATTAAAAATGCATGCAGCTAGTCTACTATAACTTCAAGTGCAGTCTGTGAAGGAAGAATAAATCATGGCAGCAATTCATCAAAGGCTTCTGTGCAAAACGGTATAAGCCATTATGGTATCGCACATGTAAGTCATTTGCCCAAGTCTTTCAACAAGCAGATAATGTGTTAGACAAGATAGTTATACTGTAGGAATGTCTGACCAGCACATAGTTATACGTTGTGCATATTGATGTTACCCTTTGACACATCTGCTCACAGGGTTGCCTGGTTTCTAATGTCAATATATGTTTTATGCTGGCAACGACTACAGACCATAGCAACGCCTCTAGGAGAAGCTCTAAAGAAACTGTAATACTGTATAGGCCCTAAAGGTAACATAGCAAAGACAAAAATAGGCCTAAAGGTTTTTACACTGAAAGAAATTAAGCTTTTGTCTATGTAGCACTGAATGTTAATATTATACTACTGTAGTTGCATCATATTTTCTCAATTACAAATACAGTGCAGTAAAAAGGACCATGCATTCAAATTCTGTTCTTTACAGCGAATGAGACCCTGCCCATGTATATGCTTCAGAGGAGACTTTAAGGATTGGGGGTGCAAAGACACTGCTGAGGCCTCAATACAGACAATCTTATAGCTCAGGGTCACTGGATTATAACACACATCTTCTTAAGGCTTAAAGAGTGCTATAATTATTCAAGTGTCAATTCTCATCTACCACATCCAGCACAAAGATTAGTAACGAAGAGCATGTACATGTCATTTTTAAAAATGTCTTTTTTTCTGTGGCTTTGATAATGTTTTGAATGTAAGCGTTCAATGGTGGTGGTTGTTTGGCCTTGCCTTACTTATTTTTCAGTTATAAAAGATTTAAGAACTTGTGAGCGACTAACTGAAATCACTTTTATGTAACATAAGGTAAGTATAATAACTATAGGTTACTTACGCAACCCCAGTTCTCAGAGTAACATGAAGTGAGATGTCTCACTATGGGATGCGCCTCATCGCGGAACAAACAGAAGCATCAATCTCATTACGCCAATCCTGATTGGCTGGTGATCTTGACGTCAGCGTCAGGGAATCTACCCCCTATAAGTAGCTTGCGCTACGCCGCATGCATCATTAAAAATAAGCACCTCTTCTCGCTTCACCATAGCAAGGAGGGCCATCTGGTGAGACATCTCACTTCATATTACTCTGAGAACTGGGGTTACGTAAGTAACCTATAGTTCTAATTCGTAACACTCCGTTCGATGTCTCACTATGGGATATTGTAGCTCCCGTATTGCCAGACGAGCTTATCTCGAAAATCACCAAACCCAACCAGAATTTAACAGTTAGAGCTCTAACTCAGCAGGGGGCCCAGCACTGCATGGGCCACACTGGGAGCAGAGACGTCTAATCTGTAAAAGCGGACAAAAGTGAGCGGCGAGGACCAGCTCGCTGCTGCACAAATGTCTTCTTGGATGGAAACACCCCTGAACAAAGCCCAGGATGTAGCCAGACCACGAGTCGAATGAGCACGCAAACCCGAAGGTGCCTGCAGACCCTGACTCGTGTAAGCCAAAGCAATTGCCTCCACAATCCAGTGAGAGAGCCGTTGCTTAGTAACAGGCTTGCCCTTCTGAGGGTTAGCCCAGGACACAAAGAGTTGGTCATTATGACGAAACTCTTTTGATCTGTCCATATAAGTGCGTAAAGCACGGACTGGACATAGCAAATTCGGCTGCTGTTCCCCGGAGGGACACAGCGGCGGAGGAAATGCCTCAATGTCAATGGGGGTACATGAACCAACCACCTTAGGTATAAAGGCAGGGTTGGGCTTCAGCAACACTCTCGTTAACCCTCGGGCGAACTGAGTGCATGAAGGATGTACAGATAGCGCATGAATGTCACTGACTCGCTTGGCGGATGCCAGGGCCAGTAACAGCACTGTCTTGAGTGACAGGTGCTTCATGTCAGCTTCTTCCAGGGGTTCAAATGGGGCTCGAGTGAGCCCATCTAAAACCACCGTCAAGTCCCATAAGGGCACCAGTGACCTGGAAACAGGAAGGAGCCTGCGAGCTCCCTTCATAAAACGGCAGACCAGAGGATGTTGGCCGGCCATCTTACCCTCAAAACCCACATGGCATGCAGCAATAGCAGCAGGTAGACTTTGATCGTGGAGAAAGCTCTGTGTTTATCAATTAGGTCCTGTAGAAATGATAAAATCACTCCCACAGGGCATTGAAAATAGGTGTGCCCTTTTTGAAGGCACCAGTCCTCAAACACCCTCCACTTACAGTCATAAAGAGACCTAGTGGAGGAAGCTCTTGCACTCTGAATAGTGTT